TTTCCTTATACCAAAATGACTATATTACGCATGCGAAGTATCTTGGCAAAATAAAAAAATATAAGATCATGGTCCCTCGATGACGCTATTCAAAGTTGCCTTACAAAATGATCTTGGTCCCTCAAAAATGCTAAGATACTTTGCAATATTGCTAATCATGATTATACGATGACCCACGCCCGTCCCGTTTACATCCAAAGATAAGGTTGCTTACCAAATCAATCGTAAGACAACAATGTCAAAGGAATAAAAAGTGCATAAGAAAGACATTTGAGTAGGTAGATTGCTTCTAGTTACTTGCTCTATTTTCAAACAACTATCCTTGCTATTTTCAAAACAAACACACACATTTTCAAACATTTTACAAATATTGAAAACATTTTCAAAAAGACAAACATCTTTGTATATATCCTTACGAACGAGAATCATTACAAAGATTTCCTAAACAATGGCCTCTTTTACAAAATACTTTCAAAGAACCACACTAAGCACATTTTCAAACAAAAGCAAGTGATCTAGCAAGTAACTAAGAGCCCATGAAAAATCATGGATGAAAAGGGTGCTAATACCTTCTCTTTTCATAATCTACCCCCCGAACTCAAGAAATAATCTCAAAGGTCTTCCCTGTGCTTTTTTTACCTTTCCTTTTGGATAAAAGAAAAATCGGTGGCGACTCTTGCTAACCGCAACTTTTACGATAAAACGCAAAAGCCTGAAGTCAGTTCTCCCGCTGTATCACACTTAACACCAAGCTTGGGTGCACGTTTAAATTTCGGCGAGCATATATAACCAAATGGCTGCTGTGAAATACAAGAACTGTTGCTACATAATTTGCATACCACTAGATGTGGATACAACATTCAAAATCCATAATGAAAAGAAAAATAGAGAATCATGTTTCTCTCTTTTTCTGATATAGAAGTGTATTTCTTTGTTATATGCCAAGTATTATGTGTTTGTATTTTTTAAGAGACAGATTTCCACATTGTTTTTATGTCACATACTACATAATGAAATATGAGTGGAGCAGAAATTCATGAACTTTGAGACTGTGCATTATTCTAAAAAAGTCTAAAGAACTAAGGTTATCTATAGCTCAAACTAAAGAAAACAACAATAACTCCTCATATACCATAAACACATCTCAAGCTTTAGATTTAGACAATAATATCAAGAGTAATAGCTATACTACTGCAACAAATAGCATATCATAAGCACTACCACAAACAACAATAACAATAGTAAATTTATGTGATAATACCATTGACTGCAGTACACAATACATTTGCCTATCTAATCCATACATAGTGTGTTTGTGTGCAGAGCATATATGTGTCCGTCCAGTTTTGACAAATTCTTACCATTAATCAATCTATTTTATAATATAGTAAATTAATGTTTGGAACTGTATTCTTGGAATTTTATAGCAGATTTCCAACATGTCAAATCTAATAAGGTTGCGTATTGTCTTCAATATATTCAGACAAAGGGGAATAATATATTGGCCTCTGAAGTGTGGTATTCATACCATTTCTAACCATAATTCTTTCGACAGTGGTGGTTAGATTATTTTCTACAGCTAAATCCTCTTGTCGAATTTGTTCAACAATTTGATCAGCCTCTTGATGTCGATGTACTAATGCCCTAGGTGGATCGACAATCAAATTCCTTGGAGGTACTAGCACTTGTCCCTGATGGACAGTTTCATCCTGTAGTACCCGCATGTCCATCTGACCAGGGGCATCTAGTCGAACAAGTGGCGCATGTCGAATAGGTGCTGGGGGAGCACCTAAAAAATTACACAAACATGTTAATTGGGAAATCACCTGTCGATTTGTTTCAGCGGACTGCCTATTAGTCTCAGTCGACTCTTGTACTATAGGATTATATACATTACCCATTTGGTTAGTTAACATATTAACCAACTCATGGTTACTATCATCCATTTGTTGCCTTAACACTGCTACTGAAGTGTTAGTGAGAGGCGATACTATTAGTTGAGAAGGCACTCCTCTAATTTGGTTGCCTCTATTATTTCCTCCTGGTGCAAATCCTTGTAAAGGGGAGTTCAAAGTTTGAACATTATCTGACGCCACTGCTGCATTCGACGTCGATTGGTATCCTGGAATTATGGAAAACGACATTCCATAAACAGGATCCACATTACCAAAATGAGGCACATTAGGTATGGTGGTCGTAGTCATTACAGGCCTTGGGCTTCTCGGTGGAACCTGAGAAATTTGTGCGGAACCTGCTGCAGTTGACCCGACTGGAGGAAAAGGTGCAACTTGAGAAACTACTGGATCAGTAGTAGTTAAAGTTCGTGACGTTATTTCGTCTACGTTTGGATTATCAGGAATTGTCATTCTTAATATATGCTTCCTAAATGATGGTTTATTATACTCTTTGGTTAACTTTCCATTTCTAAGCTGCATACACTTAAGACAAATTCTTAGCATTGTGTCCCACTGGGCGTGCCAATTTTTTTACTGTGGAAAATGGAAAACAACCGATGGTCCTTCCAAAGTCCTAAAACTAAGGGTAACTCGCAAGATCGACCCGTTGATCTTAAGACATGTGCTAAGAGTTTTATTATTATACTTATTCTATCAAAATCCTTATCAAGGAAAATGGTTTTCTGTGACTAAGGGAACAAGTATAACGACTTTCAACACTATGAATCGATCGACTGACTGGTGACTCGTGACCGACAGAAGGTATTCATATGAAAATAAGATTCAATAAACTAACTGACTAGTGACTCGTGACCGACAGAGAGTATTGAATTGTTTACGCGAAGTAGAAAATAACGTAAAGACTTTGTTCGACAGTAAATAGAAAGCAAATAAAGTATTCAAAAGAGATAATTGAAAAAAAAAGGATTTGCATTGAAATAAAAGTGGTGATTCACGTACATCAAACACTTCTTCACTCTTTGTTTCCTAACGCTCGGAATGACAGAGTTTTGACAAGTGATTTGAGCATACAAGTAAACACACCAAAAAACTACACTAAATCTGCTTATTTATAATATTTACAATGTAACTGCCTAGATGAAATCTACGGACAATAATAAAATCTTGAGACAACCGCTTCACTGGATGTCGCCACCTATTTGGCGCTTAAACAAATTGTAAACCGCTGCCAACTGCTGATGACTTTGAAATTTAAATCTTCCCGCTCCTAGCTTTTGAAAGTAAACCGCTTCTGACTCGCTTCGACACCTTCCCTTTGACAAGATTTAAAAATCAACAACAATTCCTCTAAATCCAGAAACCCTTTTGGTTGACAAAAACCAATTTCGACCATTTTCCTTGTCTTTCACCCTTTGGTCGACTAAACCAATTTCGACTATTTCTTAACATATATTCTTTTATTTCCTTTTGGTCGACCTGACTCAGTTTCGACAGTTTGACGTGACATTCCCTTTAAAAATTAAATCTAGTTTAATAAAACCAAATTTTCAAACACTTTGGCTCCAATTTCCCAAAAACCCCTACTTTAGAGGATGACCCTTAGCTTATGAGAATATCCTCATTTAATACACGTGCTTGAATACCTTAAGATTTTTCAAGGTAACACGCAGTTATGATAGATTGATTTTATACAATCAAAGCCTCTAACAACTTGAAACTATCGTAACTACTTAACTAAATACTTATAACTCTGTTCTTAATTAGTTGACTTGAGTAACAAGTTAGCTTAACTAACTTATTACTGGTGTAATAATAACTTGAGAAGACTGTCCAATTTGAGTGGAGATTTGAAACATAACCATTCATATTGGTAAATTTGGTAATGGAGATTTGAAACATAACCATACCATTTCTAAATTTTGAAAGCTAAGTTGCTTGCTACTCCATTGTCATTATCACTTAGCACCAAGCTTGGGTGCACGTTTAAATTTCGGCGAGCATATATAACCAAATGGCTGCTGTGAAACACAAAACTGTTGCTACAAAATTTGCATACCACTAGATGTGGATACAACATTCAAAATCCACAATGAAAAGAAAAATAGAGAATCATGTCTCTCTCTTTTTCTGATATAGAAGTGTATTTCTTTGTTATATGCCAAGTCTTATGTGTTTGGTATTTTTTAAGCGACAGATTTCCACATTGTTTTTATGTCACATACTACATAATGAAATATGAGTGGAGCAGAAATTCATGAACTTTGAGACTGTGCATTATTCTAAAAAAGTCTAAAGAACTAAGGTTATCTATAGCTCAAACTAAAGAGAACAACAATAACTCCTCATATACCATAAACACATCTCAAGCTTTAGATTTAGACAATAATATCAAGAGTAATAGCTATACTACTGCAACAAATAGCATATCATAAGCACTAGCACAAACAACAATAACAGCAGTAAATTTATGTGATAATACCATTGACTGCAGTACACAATACATTTGCCTATCTAATCCATACATAGTGTGTTTGTGTGCAGAGCATATATGTGTCCGTCCAGTTTTGGCAAATTCTTACCATTAATCAATCTATTTTATAGTATAGTAAATTAATGATTGGAACTGTATTCTTGGAATTTTTGAGCAGATTTCCAACATGCCAAATCTAATAAAGTTGCGTATTGTCTTCAATATATTACAAGATAGAAAACATCTTTTTTTTTTCAAATAGAGATTGTTGTGGATACTATATAAAATGGAGATCAAATTTCTTTATTAGAAAAACATCCAACAAACCGGTATGTATTAGTACAGTGATGTTCTGTTAATTTCAAATTATGAATTTCTAAAAAGACAACTAGTATCAAATTAAGAATTATAGAGTTAAAAACAAGAAAAGAAATGCAAGCATATTGTTTCAAATTCATTATTCCAAACATAAAAGATTTCCCTAGCAATTATCCTAGTAATTAGAAAATAAAAAACATAAACATGCAATTATCTAGCATAAAGGTGATATCAAACTCTGGGTGCAGATTGCTGGAAGGGTTTGAAACATAGCAGTAACCTTAAAAGTATGATTCTTAAAATCGTAAATAAGAAACTATGCACAAGCAATCCCTCAAGACACACAATCTGGACCTCCTATCGATGAGTCCATGTTGAGGAGGAAAAATCTTTTGACAAGACTCGTTGCCTAAATCAAAAGAAACAATAAAAGGTGGAAGAGGCCATTTAGTATAGGCCAACCAATTAATTGTACCCCTTACATGTATTCCTGGTTGATCATAGCCAAATTCAGAAGGAAAAGGTAATGTCTGAATGTTTCTCCAAGAAGAATTGGTAGTCAAAGTATAAACCTTTATTTTAGTAGTGTCTTGAGTACTATAGTCGTAAACAACAACCACTTTGTAATTATGAGAAACGTGATCATAGCCGAAGCCATACTTTACCGCTGGAGGCAGTTCGGGGTATTCAAAAGGAGGCAATTCCTTGAATTTTCTAATAGAAGGATTCCACAATACAACAAAAGAGTTATGATAATCAACAAGACAAAGGATTCCGTCACAAGAGCCAACAATATAATGTAAATTGTGTTCAAAAGGACTGTTATATGGAAAGCCAAGTTGAGTGAAATTGGTAGTTAGGTCTGTGAAAACGGATTGGAGTGGGTAAGACTTTAAAACAAAACGGTTTAAGGGTTCGTCATAGCTTATGACATGGAGGTCGCGCGTGGTTGACAGGTTAAAGTGCTTTCTGGAGAATTTGTTATCGGATATTAGTGAATTCCAGGACTTGCAGACGCATCGGAATTGGACAAGTGTTTTGACGGGTAGCCTAGAGAGTATCTCTGTTATGAGATCAAAAGGAAGAGTGGGAAGTGAATCAAGGATCTTCTTAGGGTTTGTTCTTGACGGCTTAAACTGTTTTCTGCCCAATTTATGAATACAATTCCATAACTTGTACACGCATCGGAATTGCTTCACTCCAAGATCTTCTGAATTCATGTTAGGGTTTTTTCTCTCCATGCTCGAATCAACTCTAACTAAACCAATATATATATATATATATATATATATATATATATATATATATATATATATATATATATATATATATATATATATATATATATATATATTAACTAGACATTTTGAAGGAATATATTCTATTGAATTACACCACATGCATATTATTATAAACAACTTTTATTTTATTGATACATTTAATTATCAATAGAATATATTCGAAACTTGCATCTAATACGTCAAAAACATCCTAAAGGTGTGTTAGTGATTATATGCACTTAAACACGATTTATAACGTATGGATTTAAGGATTCTAAAATTAAAATATTACCCAAAGGGAGCTACTTGGTCTGCGTGTTCTAGGATGCTTCAAGAACCTTTGCAAATCAAATTTTCTTTAGAAACTCCAAACCCTAGTTGTGGGCCTTTGACTTAGGAGGTGCATCTTGACTAGTCAACCCTAGAGTGCCTTGAGTGTCTGAGAAGCCTTGAAAGAATATCTTGAGAAGAAAAGGCGATCGCAAATTTTGGGGTACAACAACTGCCACTTCCAATCTTCTTAAACCTGAAGAGTTAGATTGACATGTCCGCCATTCGTGACCTAAAGGTAAAAGATGATTGAACACTTAAGTGCCGAGAATTTTTCACTCGCCTGTGCAACAGGTAACGTTGTTGGTTGATTATATCAAGAATGGGTTTATAGATGCCATTTGGAGTGGTGACGAAGAGTTGTCCGAGATGGGCTTATAGATGCCATCCAAAATAACTGTTGACTTCAACTGGAAGAAGTATCAGAATAAATCTTTGGATGATTTAAACAGAACCATCATATGTCTTTGTTTGTTTTTAACTGAATAAGAATCAGAATAAATCTTTGGGTGATTTAAACTGAACCATAGAAAGTGCCTAATGGGAAATAATCAAGATAAACCACTAGGTTAATTTAAACTGAACTAGAGAAAGGTCTACTGGAAATGAATCAGGATAAATCATTAGTCGATTTAAACTGAACCAGCAGAGGTCTTGAATTATCTTTAACTGGATAAGTATGAGAATAAATCATTGGGCAATTTAAATTGAACTAGAGAAAGCGTCTACCAAAAAAGAATCAGGATAAATCATTGGTCGATTTAAACTGAACCATCAGAGGTCTTGATTTTTCTTTAACTAGATAAGAATCAGAATAAATCTTTGAGCGATTTAAACTGAATAGAGAAAGGTCTTGATTGTCTCTAACTGGATAAGAATCATAATAAATCTTTGGAGGATTTAAACTGAACCAGAGAAAGCGTCTACCAGAAAGGAATCAGGATAAATCACTGGTCGACTTAAAGTGAACCAGCAGAGGTCTTGATTTATATTTAATTGGATGAGAATCAAAATAAATTTTTGAGCGATTTAAATTTAACCAGAGAAAGGTCTTGATTGTCTCTAACTGGATAAGAATCAGAATAAATCTTTGGACGATTTAAACTGAACCAGAGAAAGCGTCTATCGGAAAAGAATCAGGATAAATCATTGGTCGATTTAAAGGGAACCAACAGAGGTCTTGATTTATATTTAATTGGATGAGAATCAGAATAAATCTTTGAGCGATTTAAATTGAACCAAAGAAAGATCTACTGGAAATGAATTAGGATAAATCATTGGTCGATTTAAGCTGAACCAACAAAGGTCTTTAATTGTCTTTAACTGGATAAGAATCAGAATAAGTTATTGAGTCGATTTAAACTGAACCAGAGAAAGAGTCCACCGGAAAAGAATTAGGATAAATCATTGGTTGATTTAAGCTGAACCAACAAAGGTTTTTAATTGTCTTTAACTGGATAAGAATCACAATAAATCATTGAGATGATTTAAACTGAACCAGACGAAGATCTATTGGAAACGAATCAGGATAAATCATTGGTCGATTTAAGCTGAACCAACAGAGGTCTTGAATTGTATTTAATTGGATAAGAATCAGAATAAATTATTGGGTTGATTTAAACGGAACCAGAGAAAGATCTATTGGAAACGAAGCAGGATAAATTATTATCGATTTAAACTGAACCAGCAGATGTCTGTTTGAGAATGACCTTCTAAGGAAAATATGGAAAAGCCCTTCGTCCGACGTAGCCTTTGAAAAGATTGTCAGGTCATATACGTAGTTAATGATGTTTATTGATTAATCTTTCCTGAAAAGGTAAAGAGTTAGTTGTATACAATGGCATGATGTATGAAATGCATTACGCAATGATGTTCTCAAATAAATGAGATTGTGCTATATGCGTTTTGTATGCATATGCTATGGTATTTTGTAAATTATGTATGAATATGGAATGTTTTTGAAGTGCATTTGTAAATTCGAGCAGCATCTTTGTCTGGGGAAAATAAATTCCTGACTGTCGCTAGGGATGAAGAGTATGTGTATCTTTGATCTTCTGGGGATTGTTTCCGCTGGGGATCCCTGCTTGCTGGTTTGAGGAAACTCCGCTGGGGAACATTGATTTTTTCTCTTTGTTTGAGGAAACTCGGTTGGAGAGTATTAATTCCTGCCTGGGGAGAAGAATTTAAGAACATTGGTTGTTCATTGCTTTATTGGGGAATTTATACCCTGGCTGGGGATGGAAGAGGTGTATAACCTTCTGACTTATCTGGGTAAGATAAGGTTGACTGGTATTTGATTTGATTCCAGGTTCCATATAAACTCTCTGAGGATAGTGGCAACTTCACTAGGAAAAGGTTGTTAGTCGGTGATTTATGGTAAAAGCATACTAAAGCTGGGGAGTGTCAGAATAAATCTATGCCTTGATTGTATCTGAAGATGTATTGAATGGGTATCAGAATGATAACTATACCTGGACTGTATCTGAACTGTATCTGAGTAACAAAATGAATTTGTATCTTGATCGTATCTGAACTATATCTAGAAGATGTGTTGAATGATTATCAGAATGAATATGTATCTTGATTGTATCTGTACTGTATCTAGAAGTGAATCTGGAATGAGTGTCAGAATGAATCTATATTTAGACTGTATCTGAACGGTATCTAGAAGTTGATTTGGAATGAGTATCAGAATGAATCTGTATCTTGATTGTATCTGAAATATATGTAGAAATGGATCTGGAATGAGTGTCAGAATGAATCTGTATCTTGATTGTATCTAAACTGTATCTAGACATGGATCTGGAATGAGTGTCAGAATGAATTTGTATCTTGATTGTATCTTCACTGTATCTAGAAATGGATCTGGAATGAGTGTCAAAATTAATCTGTATATAGATTGTATCTGAATTGTATCTAGAAGTGGATCTGGAATGAGTGTCAGAATGAATATGTATCTTGATTGTATCTGCATTGTATCTATAAATGTGTTGTACCCCAAAATTCACCCTCTCTTTTCTCAAGACATTCCTCACAAAGACCTTCAATGTTTCAAGATTGCACAAGTGTTGACTAGGTCAAACCATCTCCTCAACACTGATGCCTCAAATTGGCGTTTGGACTTTCACAAGGAAACTTGGACTTATAATGCTTCAATTGACTTTCATGGATCATTAGGGAACTTCAAGAATGCTCATGTCAAGATTCAAGTCTTGCATCTCAAAATTGCTCAGTCAATTGATCAAATGACCCAAAATCAACTATATTGGATAAAAAGTCAACTGTGGTCAACCTATAGTCAAAATTCAAGATTTTTGACCAGTATCAACATTTCAAAGTCATATGTGTCAATTGATAAAGTTTGGATCACAATTCCCCAAGAAAAATGCTCAATCACCAAAATGGCAAAATGGTCAAAATTAGGGTTTTGGTTGTATTTGACTGATTAGGGACATTTGACCTAATACATGATCTTATGGTTCGAAGCACAATCTCAAGGATTCGAATACAACATGTTGACCTAATTTCATGGCTCAAAACATTTCTCAAGATCAATTGATTGATAGTTGAAATTCAGTCAACTAATTAAAAGTAAACTGATACACCAAAAGTCAAAATTTGACTTTTTGGTCAAAATTGAGTTTGAAAGATCACAATTCATCAAGGCATTCAAAAATGTGAAGCTTAATCATCAAGAAATCAAGAAATTCAAAAGTCATTTTGAAAATTCAAACTTTTCAAGACTTAGAAAAAATTCTAAGTGTCTTAAGCATGATAATTTCATAACTTCATGACATTTTTTCACCATAATGAAAAATGATGCAAGGAAAACTTTCAACATGAAAGTTGTAGATCTTGATGAGATCTACAAATTTTCTTTACTTATCAAGTCCTATAAATGCTTGGATCTTGAGTTATAAATTCATGAAGTCATGCACTTTTTCATATGACACTTTGTGAAAATTTGACCTAGTTTAGACAGCTTTTGACCAAACTTCTTGGCCAATTTTCACCAATATCCAAGATGATTTTGTCAAAATGGACAACATGAAAGTTATAGAGGATGTTTCAAGATTTCCAAAATGTCCAAGAACTCAATGAGATCATTTTTGAGCTAGGAGAATCGAAGAGATGAAGTTAGGGTTTCAAACTTGAATTACAAGTCAATTTTGTGATGAACACATAACCAAATCCATAAGCCATGCTACATAATCTTGTTTTGCAGGATTCTAACTTATGTTTCAATCCATAATTAATGGTTTACACAAATATTTGAACCATTATCCAAACCAAATTTCCATTAATGAAAGAAAGTTTACACTTCCATTTTGGAAAAGTGGCTTTAATCACAAAGTCCACTCTCCTTGAGCTTTGTAGTTGTTCTTTCTGCACAAGCATCCTTAACAAGTTCAGAGAAAGCATGTTTAAATTTGCTAGCCACTCTACCTTGCCTTGAAACCATGTGTGTCCAAGTTACTTCAAAAACAAGTAAAAATCCACAAACATGTGATCTTGTACTTCTAACATCTACAAGCCTCCAAACCTTTTCTCTATAAATTGAGACATCATTTGCAAGCTAACACATGAATTAGCAAGCCCTCAAACTCACTCAAACTCTCCCAAACTCTGAT